CCCCCCTACCCTTCTCCTCGCTCACCCTCTTTCCGCCTGGACACGTCCAAGGCCGCCGCCGCGGTGGCGCGCCGCGTGGCTTCGAGGCGCGCGTTGGGCATGGGACGCTGCCCGCCCTCTGGGGTGCCGGGCTGGGCCCGTAACCATCGCCGCCCGAGGGCCGCGGTCGTGGCTCCGCGGTCCGGGGGAGGCGGATGTCTCTGGGCGGCGCGTGCGTCAGGGCCAGGGGGAGGTCGGGGGGTGCGCCGTCAGGTGGGCCCACCCCTCCATTGCGCCCCCCGCGGCTGGTTTCGCTTGCCCCGGCTTTGGGTTGGGTCGGGCTGGGCGCGCGCGGCTGGCCGGGGGGGGCGCGTGGGGGGGGCGCCTAAACTAACGCGACCCGAAAGCCGTCCGCCTCCTTAGCCGCGCCGAGGGCCGCGTAGGGGGGGGGCCCTTGGAATTTGAGACCCGCCCGCCCGCGCCATTCCAGGGCGGTTTACCCCCCCCCCCCCCCTGTTTGCGGCAAACGGTGACAGCAAGGCATCGGGACTTCGTGGAGTCGGACCCCAGGAAGAGTCGCCCCAAGTCTACATGGCCTGGGCGGCCTACCCCAGGCTGACACCCGGGCGGCACAGGGCAATCCAGGCCTGGCCTTTCGGGCCGCGTCGGCGGCCAGCAAGCGGGCCGAGCGCGTTCTCGGCACCGCCGGCGGCGCGTCGCGGACTGTCCGTGGGCGGCCGCGAGCAATCTAAGCGTGGCCTTTTGGCCCGCGGGGGCGGCCGGCAGGTGGAACGAGCATGTCCTCGGTCCCGCCGGCGGCACCTCGCGGATGTTCCGTGGGCCCGCGGCGCGCGGTCGTCGGGATGCCAGTGCGCCCCGGCCGGCGCGCTGTCGCTGTGCGCTTAAACTAACGAGGAGCCAGTGCGCCCTCAGCTGCGCACGCCAATCAAGGCATGCCGTGCTGCCCCAGGCCAGACGGCCCAGGGCGGCTCGGGCCGGTCATGCAGGGCCAGCGTGCCCGCGCCAGCGGCTGGCTTGTGGACCGGGCACGTCCTTGGTCCCGCCGGCTCTCCTCGCCGAGGGCCAGCGTGTCCCGTGCGACGGTTCAAACACCGCGCGCCCGCCCCGAGGGGGGGCGGGCCGGCCTGCGTATTTCGGGGACCCGACCATGTGATTCGGTGCCCCGCGGCGTGATTGTGTCGTGGCACCTCCCCCTTGACTTTGCCATTCAAAGATGCGCACACCCTTGCCCTTCTGCTCGCTCACCCTCTTTCCGCCTGGACACGTCCAAGGCCGCCGCCGCGGTGGCGCGCCGCGTGGCCTCGAGGCGCGCGGTGGGTATGGGGCGCTGCCCGCCCTCCGGGGTGTCGGGCTGGGCCCGTAACCATCGTCGCCCGAGGGCCCGCGGTCGTGGCTCCGCGGTTCGGGGGGGGCGGATGTCTCTGGGCGGCGTGTGCGTCAGGGCCAGGGGGAGGTCAGGGGGTGCGCCGCCAGGTGGGCCCACCCCTCCATTGCGCCCCCCGCGGCTGTCGACGCTCGACCAGAACGAGTACATCGATGCCCTGATACGCACTGGTTAGGCACGTCAACCACGTCATATCGAAGGCCGACGAACCGGCGGGAGGTACATTTCAATACCTCTTCGTTTCTTTGCTGGGAGCAGCCGCGTGCGCCCTGCTGGCCCAGCTCCGCGTCGCCGCGTGCACTGTTGCACTGCAGAGGGCCAAGAACAATCTTCTCATGCCACACGCAACGCAACTCAACTCAGCGGTCCTGGCGCCATCGCCGCGCAGAAGATCGAGGCGCGCATTGCCTTTCCTGTCAAGGAGTGCGCTGGCCAGCGGCGCGCGCGCAGCGGCGGCCCCTTCGCGCGGGGGGGGGGAGACCAGCAACGGCATGCGATGAAACATTTACATGCGTTTGAGTAAGTGCCGCAACACCAGCGAGGAGGTTTGCCACGTGCTCGACGCTGTGAGCCGCTCGCACAAATTTGCGTGGAGGTCTTCGTTTGGCTCTGAGCTGCTCGCGGCCTGCGGAGCAGCGGGTGAGCCACAGCGCTCCACGAGCTGATCCATGGGCCAGCATCATCCGGCGAGATCAGGAAGCTGAGAGAGGAGGGCGGCTATGTTGCACCAGCAACGCTTCTCGTGGACGGGATGTCCGTCTTCGCAGCACCGGCCGCGGACGATGGTCGACCGCCTTCAGAAACCAGTCTGGCCTGCCACATGTGGTGGATATCCAACCAATGTCGCACCAAGCAGATTGGCGACATCTTTTGGCTCAGTATTTGAGGCCTGAGGGTCGCCCCCATGACGACCAGGAACGGAGGCCGCGACCTCATCCTCGACGCAATGAAGAGGAAGCTCGGCTACGACCACGATGCTTCCAAGTTGCGTGACGAGCGGCACAAAGATACCGTGCCCAGTTCCAGTTTCCACCACAGAAGCTTTACCAAGGACGTGGACGACCAGAATTGCCAAGACTTCGCGTCGTCCACCATCTAACCATTTTGGCTACAGGCGACGGTGGCCTGGGCTTGCAAGTGCTATGCCATCGCAGCCAACGGCCTTCGGAATGGCAGAGAAAGGCGAGAGAATGATCGGGCTGCTCCCAGGAACTAGGTTCTCGGAGCAGCACGAAGCTAATGAGTAGAGCGCGCACTTGAGTGAGGGCTTGTCTTGTTAATCGCTGGTTGGCCCTGCTGGTTGGAGCGTGGCTTGCACGCGCTAACCGACGCGGCACAACAAACGCGGTGGAGCATCAGTTTCGACCAGTCGGTTTTATTGAACTCGCCTTGTCTCTTGCGTAATCGTCTCCCCTCGCCGCCGCCCTTTTGCTTGGGGTGACGGAGGGCGGCCGCTTGCAGCGCCCGTCCTTTATTCACATGCGCGCAAGCAAAAACATCCGTTATCACTTCCGCATCTCATGTCTGAGTCCCCCCCATTCTTGTCTCCATCCGTTTCCTCCTCCCCCCCGCCCCGTTCGCGGAGGAACGAGGAAAAGTCTTGATCCCCCTCCATTCGGGAACGGGGAGGGGAGGCACCGCCATCGGGCCCCTCAGCAGGCCCGCTCTGGGCGCGCTTGGTCCAGAGCTGCCCTTGCGGAAACGTGCGATGGCCCGAATTATCCCCCGCTTCGTCTTCGAAGAAAGAACCCACACGTGTTTTCGTCGCGTGAAAATCACGACGGACGGCTTCTGGCAAATCCCAGCCTCTGGGGGCCTTCTTCGGGATCCGGGACCGTCCCCAAAACATTCTGGATGAAAAGTCCCCAGGGCCGGTTTCCACCAGGAAAAATCGGGAAGGGCCAAGCGGCCACCAAGAAAAATAACCCATCCGATTCAACAAGATGAGGCACGGGATCAGCAGCAGACGAATCCTATGAGGATTTTGACCAGCACGGGGCAAAAAGCTAGGCAATTCCGCCGACCCTTCGACGTGTGGGCCGGTTTTTCACCCCAGATTTGTTTTTGGGGGCGGCTTCGTTCCGCGCGCGTGGGGGGAGGATCCGGCGCCACCGAGCGCGCTCCATTACTCGCAACTTGCCTACTCGCAAACGTCCGAACAAAGACACATGTCTGCTTCGATGTTACGTATCGTAGATCCTCCAGGGGGGTTGGCCATTTGCGAGTAGTTACTTTGCGAGTGGTGAACGCGCTCGTCTACCATGACCCCCCCCCCAGGACGAAGCCCATAGTAACGATGCGCGACTTTGCAGGTCGGAAACTGGAGCATATACATTACCAGTGGGGGGATGTTCTTCAATCCCAGGGCGTGTTAGGGGGTCGGGGACGACGTCGGGGTGGTGTAGTGTATGTTTCTATTCCCCGTTTTCCCAGGGAGACAACGACGAATGCATACACCAGGATCCCGTGTACACCGGGATCCGTTTTCTTGTGCGAGCTTCAGTGCGGGGCCGGAACCAGCGTCGGTGTATAGAGTTCGGTTCCTTACCACTGCGCAGCCTGCGTCCTTGCCTCCTCGGACCGTCCTCGACCACTCTCGACGGCCAGCCGCGCTCAGAGCGCCTCGACGTGGGCGTCCGAGGGGCTTGCCTCCTCATCGCGCATCCTTGCTGACAATTTTGACTGTAGCTGCTTCCTCTGTCCGGTTCCGTGTTCGGGGAAGCCCGAGAATGTCGATTTCGGGGGGGGTGATGACGGGGGGGGGATATCCTGGCGTGAACCATGCTCTTTCCCACGATTTCATGGCGCCTCTTCTAATCTCATTGCGTCCGGAGGAGGAGGAGAAGGAGGAGGAGGAGGAGGAGGGAGGAGGGAGGAGGGAGGAGGCCCCCTCAGCTGCGCACGTGCCGCCTGCCATGATGCGCGCCCCCCCCCCTCTTGGACGCCCCCCGCCTGGCCGCCCCCGAGAGTGCCGATCCCGAGGTGGGTCGGCGCAGCTCCCGCCCCCCACCGGAGGCAGACCGGGTTCAACCGATCCACCTCGGTCATTGCCCAGTTCGCCCAGCTTCTGGACGCCCGACATGGGTACGGAAAGAATGGGTACGATGCCCAACAGCA